CAAACAAAAGAAAAACAGAGACATCCATTCGATTTGAAATCCATGAAATTAAAAAAGAAAATGCTTGATTTCATTCACAATGTCATCCTCAAGTACAAATTCAGCACATCAAACACAAAGATTCCAAAACAACCATGGCGAAAATTCTGGGAGAGAACCGATTAGAATCGGAGGGAGTGACCCCACCCACGGGATCAAACTTCAACCATTTCCTTCACTACTCTTCCCAAAACTTCCTCTGATCAGAAAATTTTACCTAAAAGAAATAAACCCAGAAGAAATACAGTCCTTGAACCTCACGATTCTTCTCCTTCAATCGTTGTTGAACCCCCCCCTTCTTCTCCTCGAAATCTCACTCTACAGCTCTTGAAAACCCAAACGTAGACTCCCAAAATCCCAATTAAACTCAAAAAAAAAAAAAAATCCCCCCTTTTCCAATCTGATTTTTTTCTATATATACCCAAACAATTCAATAAAATAAAATAAAATAACATAAAAAAAAATTCTTCTAAGGATGTCAATTTGTCCGGTATTGTTGTTTTTTTTGCATGTGAGGCAAGGATGTGGCTGTAGCAAGCAGGAGTGCAGAGGCACGGGATTGGGGGCAGGGCGCGGTGTGCAGGGGGGTGCTCTGGGGCAAGGCAGGGTCGGGTACAGGGTAGGTGCAGCAGAGGGGCGTAGGGGGGCCATGATGGCTTGGGCGTGCAGGGCATGATTGGCGGTGATGGCTGGTGCAAAGTGCAGGTGATTCGGGCGCAGAAAAGGCAAGGGATCTAGTGCAGAAGGCGTGGGATTGGGGCCAGGCTTGGTGCAGGGCAAGTGCAGGAAGCAAGGCTGGGTGGCAAGGGCAGGGGATCTGGTGATGAGTGCAGATTTGGGCTTGGGCAGAGGCAGGTGCAGGCGTGCAAGGGGTAGGGCAGAGCAAGGCCGGCCGCAGGAGGGGGCGTAGGGAGGTATGATTGCCGGCAGTGGGGCGCAGAGGAGGGCTGGTTCTGGTTCGGTGCAGAGGAGTTGGGCGTGGGGCTTGGGGCGTAGGGAGAAGGCCGGCGTGTGTGGGGAAGAAGAAGTTTTTGGAGAGCAA